GATAGCGACGGAACCCTGTCCATGACACCAAGAAAGTACATTGAACGTGTCAAGGCCCAGTATGTATCCTTGTTTGGGGAGAATCCATCCACTAAGGTCACCAGCCCAGTGGAGAAGAACGACCACCCAGAGCTTGATACCTCTCCTCTCCTGGATGATGATGGGATCTCAAAATACCAGTCCCTGATTGGAGCTTTGCAATGGGCAATTTCACTTGGAAGATTTGATATTGCAGTCTCTGTAATGTCAATGTCATCCTTCAGGGTGGCACCCAGGGTGGGGCATCTGGAAAGACTCAAGAGGATCACTGGATTCTTGGTCAAGATGAACCAGGCAGGAATCAGGATCCGCACCAACGAGCCAGACTACTCCCAACTGGAATACCGCACCTACGACTGGACAAGGACGGTCTATGGGGAGGCACAGGAGGAACTCCCAGTAGATGCCCCACAGCCGAAGGGCAAGCCGGTAGTGTTGACGACCTATGTGGATGCAAACCTATACCACGATTGGGTCAATGGCAAGGCAGTCACTGGTGTACTGCACTATGTGAACCAGACCCCATTCGAATGGTACTGCAAGAAGCAAGCCACTGTGGAAGCAGCCACATACGGCTCTGAGTTCGTTGCTGCTAGGGTTGCCACCCAGCAGGCCATTGCAGCCAGAGTTACACTCAGGTACCTTGGTGTGGAGGTAAAGGGGCCAACATACATGTTTGGCGACAATGGGTCTGTGGTGACAAGTTCCACCCAGCCCCATTCGCCCCTCAAGAAGAGACATCACGCCCTCTCCTACCACTTCGTCAGAGAAGCCATTGCCGCAGGGACCATCTCGTTTCATCATCTACCGGGAGCAATCAACCCCGCAGACATCCTGACGAAACACTGGGGTTACTCCCAGATATGGCCCATTCTGAAGGCAGTTCTGTTCTGGCAAGGAGACACAGCTGATCTCCTGGACACCACCATGGACACATCACATGGTGGGGAGCGATGAGTGGAAATCCACGTGAACTCCCATTGTGGTGCGAAGCAGCTGTGCTGGTTTAGCCAGGTGGAAGAATCGCTGTGACATCTGTATACTCCAACAGTAGGGTCAGCAGTGCAGCCATCTGGCAATACAGAAATAGCTGAGGAACTCTATATACCCAAGGATGATGCAGTTCTTCAGCCAAGACCAATATAGAAAGTTAGCTTGCCATAATTCCAGCGTTGGTTTTATCTGAATGACTAAATTAATAATGACCCAGTACTCAAAACACGTAGAAATCTGCGTAGAAATTACAAGAATAATAAAAGAAAACAATAAAAAGATCGACCATGACGAACAGCACGACCAATTACACCATGGAAAACACACCGATACACTTTACAACAAGAAAATCACTACTATCAACACTTATGAACCTAACGGAATACCGGAGCTGATGCTCCCAAGCCCCCAATCTGAAAAACCGACCAAAATGACCCTTCTACCAACCAATACCCATAGTGGCAACAACCTGAGGTCAACAGAAATCCCCACAACGGAGCTTCTCCCATTGATTCTTTCCATGCACTCTCAAATGTGGCAACAACCTGGGTGGAGCAGAAATTCCCACATCGGAGTCTTCATGGGAAAGCAATCGGACAAGACATTGGACCAGAACGGAAGTCAACTACTTCATCATCAACATTCATACCTTGAGCAAATCGACATCCCCTCCATTCAGCATTCACTGTGGCAACAACCTGAGTGAAGCAGAAATCCCCACAACAGCGCTTTGGATTGAGAATAAATGTCAACCACTTCAGAACCACTGCTTTGAGCAGCAATACTACGATTATCTTCGGTGCAACGGCAGCACCTCAATATTTTGGATCATTATGCACACTTCCCTTGAATGAGCGATGACCCAGGGCGCAGGATGTACTGCAACGATCGGGGCAAGAACCTGCTACCATTTTCTATTTCCTTTCTTTGGATTTATTTTTTATTTTGTACAGTCCTCATGCTACACATGAGAAACCCTTCTACTTGAACAGGCGGCCAGTAGTGCCGCCCGTCTTTCCTAGTGAAGTAAAAGCATGCCTTCGGCGCAGTAGAACATAATTCTACTAATCTTTGTGTCAAATCAAATAGAAAGTTAGCTTGCCAGCACCAGCCAAATGAGATGCAAGAGAGCCAAAGCTGCATGGCTGAGTGCTGTCGAGGATTTTATGTTCAGTTGATTTTAGCATAGTTTAAAGAAGAAGAAGTAATGAAAGGATAGTTGACCAGATACAGCCCCAGTAGCACTAGTTTCCCCACAGTTGAAGCCTTCTGTGTGGATTGTGCCAAGGCAAAGAGTAAGTTGTTCAATCATTGCTGTGGAGATTGAATAACAGTGGCAGCCAGCTTGTGGCTGGCCACATTCCAAGTCACAGGAGTGAGGACTCCAAGCAGAGCTCTCCACTCCCAGCTCCTTAGTGTGCATCTCCTGAGACTGATCTCTAGATCGCACAACATGGGTATGGAGTTCTGCCCATAGAACGCCTCTGCAGATAGCCCCAAAGGAGATTTCTGATTTCATTGTTTCCACAATAATGAAGGAGCACCCCAACAGCATTATTTGGTAGACACTGCTACGAAAAGATATCACCTCAACAATCAAACGATCAACTTCCTTCGTGTGTTGAAACGAAATCACGTAAAACAAGCTATTGGCGTAGATCGAATCAATGACAATGATTCGCTTTCACGTGTTCTGCAGTTGTTTCGCTTTCATCTTCCGCGAGGTTACTCTGCAAGAGCGAATTACGAGACAACAGATCAGCTTTGCGAAGCACTAGAAATTCCCGGTCCTGAATCCGGTCATATGGTGCTGTTCAACTTGTCTGAAGGCGTCATTCATGACCGGTATCGTAACAAGATTGTAGGGAAGAGAGACAGAATGGTGAGTATCTTCAATGAAAGAACACAACTATGAATTCCAGGTAGGAACTCAGGGTAGTGCACAAGAGCTGGGATGGAGAGATCTGGTTGGGAAGATCTCCTCCACTGGCGCTGGAAAGGCCAGCCCAAGGCTGGCAGCCAATGCTATTCAATCAATGTGGAAGCAATGATTGAACAGTCTAATTGCCCAATACCCTGGCACTGGCCATACAGAATCCAGTCTACGGCAGAGCTCTATTGTGCTGTTGGGTCTGTCTCTCAGGTCAAATACTTCTTCATTACTTCTTTAAACTATATATGAACACAAACTCTGATTTGCGTGAAACTCCATCCATCCATGCAGGATACAGATCATGCATCTCTTTTGGCTGGTGTTGACCAAGCTATCTTTCTAGATAGGTCTGGCTGAGGAACTGCATCATCCTTCCTTGCAGAGGAACTCTATGTCCCTACAGCTGTTCCTATTGGTCTGATGGTGACACAGCTCATTGTACTGAAAGACTGTACAGATCAACAGCATCTTTCCATCAAGACTGAGCCAGCACAGTGCGCCGCACCCATAATAGGCTCCTATGGCATAATCTCATCGCTCCCCACATGGGAGTCATGGAGGGATGCCAAACAGCTTGCACATCATGGGCTTCCCTCGATACTTCCATGAACTGTTAGCATCTGACTTCTCAGTGTGGACTTTGGTGCATACCTCAGGGTTACCAACCCTCTTGTAATACATCAAGTGTCCATTGCTGAGTACCACTTGACACATTGGAGAGGGGATCACATGGGCTTGTTGATCAAACCCCAGTCGTGTTCGAGGGGAGAAAGGAGTGCATTGGCATTGGTTCCATTCTGACCTATCAATTGGGATCTCATCATGGTCTCCCCAATACTGCATCACAGCTCATTGGCTTAGAAGAGTATCTGTCATCTCCCCATAAGGCCATGAAACAGATCTGGGCCATAACTGTTCATCTGGAGCCCTCAACTGGGTAGTTAGGTGACGAGTTGTCATCCTATGAGGTTGGACTGGTTGTCCTATCATCAAGTATTGCCTCAGCTAAAGGCAACACCTCGCAGACGCTCCTCAAGTTTACCATCTCCTTACTGGGTTTAAAAGGAATCCCGTCCAGAGACACGACTAACTTGTGCTTGCTTGGGTATGACCAGGTGCAGGTCCTGTCACATAGACATGGCAGTGGCTCATTCCACAGCCATCAGCGTTGGGGGGTGTTGCTCCTAGCCCGACTGCTTTCACCTTGCTGAGGGTGACACAGTGTAAGTTCTCCCATCACCCGAAAGTGAAGGGAGTGCCATCAGGCGAGAGGGTGTGAGTACCAAAACATGTTTTCAAAAAACGTTGTACTTGGAAACTATCCTGGAGATACAAGTTAAGCACAAACATTGTCATACTGGGCAATGTCCTGCGGAAGGTACCCTATCCGAGGGAGGGGTTGCATGCTACCCCGCAGCCTGGCCGTGCCTGGGTACCTTGGGCTCAACCCAGTGCGACACAAAACACTAGTTGCCCAGGCAAATATCCGTCTTGGACTTGCCCATTGAGGGCTGCAGTCACCACAATTGCCATCTGGAGGATCTAAGGCATCCCCGACTGCTGGGTCAGCTTCGCTCTTCGGATCCACTCAGGTCTGACATCTGGGTTTGACGGTGGGCTTCCATCAGGACTCTTTGTCAGCGACAGAGAGCCTGTACCAAAATCTGGCGTCCATTGCTGGATAGCGAGACCATGACTGGTCGGGAAGGCGTGGAATATTACACTGTCTCCCCATTACCCTGATGTCTCGTCTTGCCAATGTCGGCTATGTTGGCTAGACGTGAGTCATTATCTCTTCGGTTGATGTTAAAGAAGTGCGGCATTCAGAGCACCTCCTTGTACCCGTCGTTTGTAAACGATGCATGATGGCCCTCTCGACATACTCTCTCATGTTCCGTGCAGAAATGTCGTTCAAGGTGGGTACACCGGTGAAGGCCCGCTGTAAGAACAGCTTCTTATAACATCGGTGAGCCTATCACTAGAGTCTCCTTGGCCATCAATGTATCGGGTAACAACTGCGTCAAACTTGACAATGAAGTCCACTGTGGAACCTGGCTCACTCTGGCTTTATTGCACACTAGTCAGCATATGTGAGTGTCTCCACATGATCCAAGAGAACCTGCTACTGACAAGTGAGCATCCTGGACAAGTCTCACCGAGAATGGCAAAGCAGTCAGAGGTCATGAAAGTGGGACTTCACGATGACCTTTCCATTGGTGGTCTGCATTTCTTCTGGAAAACAGCTAGAACCAATGATTCATTGTATGAGTTCATCCATGGACTCCGGTGCTGCTTGGGACGTAGTCGGCATCAAAGGATCTTATGGAACCCTTGACCTCTAGCCACAGTGATAAAGGAACTCATACCACTGTCGAAGATCCTTGTTGGATCTTGAGGATAGGGTAGCCGTGGCATCCTGGCTTGCGCACGAAAGGCTGCCTGGATGGCCAGTGTGCCACTTCTCCACCACCCCTGGACTTGGAAGACCACCATTGCCATCAGGTGGTGGGAATGAGGGCTGACTTCCTTCTTGTCTTCGTTCGCAGTTTTGATCAGTAGTTTGGCTGACTGACTTCCTTCTTGGCTTCCCAGTTGATCAGTAGGTTGGCTGACTGGAGGGATGGCTGAGTCTACTGGTGTCTTGGATGATAGTGGGCCAATAGGCATGGCTGATAGGCTGCTGAAGACACAAGTTGAATGGTGCTGAAAGACGTGGGGTGTGTAGGGACTGAAGACACCGGTTGTGTAGCTGGGCATCTCACAGAATGGGGTGTGGGTGGGATGCGCGATATATGGTATTGTGTGGTGGGATATACCTCCCCATTGAGGGCCCATAGTTGGTGATGGTATCCACCTCTAGCAGGGGGAGTGGCAACGTCCATGGCAACTTTGGGTTAGGATGGATGACCAAAAGGGTCCTCAACATCACCAAACAAACTCTGTTCCACACTGCTTGGTTCTGAATCTGTCCTCCTAGCCTTGATCTCATGGCTAGGCTTGTGTGATACACCAGGTGTGCATGGAGTGGAGTAAGGTGGCCCTGGATGGGAAGAACCAAGCAGATTGGTATTGTTGTGGTCCTGTGGTGAGGCCAAGGGAGCTTGGTTCATTTGTTTCATTTTCTTCAATGCTATGGCCAGTTGGTGGCTGATCATTGAAAGGGTAAC